GTATTCATTTTAGGTTTGTACCCAAAGAAGAGAACGGTGAGTGCAAGTTTAAAAACAGAAGCTTATCTTTGACAAGGTCGGGGGAGGAGGAGGAGGAGGGAGAGAGAGAAGCAGGCACAAATATGTATTTCTTTATTTTATAACTTAAGATTTATCAGAGAGTTTGCCAGGTAATAGCAGTTTTACGGTTTTATTTGGCATTTCTGATTGCATCCCTTAAGAATAAATTTTAGGTGGTATTTGTTGGGTCTGTCCTTGAGAAAAATATCTTTTGTGGGTGCCACAAAACACACAAACTCTTGGAGACACACTTACAGTACTTTGCCTCTTGAATAGAGCATGGCCATCATTAATGATCAACCTGAGTTCTTACAAGAGCTTAAAAACAAACATTTTACATAAGGCAATACACATACTTATTCATATTGCAGTAATGTTTAGGGGCCCCAGTCAGGCATCAGGGCCCCATTGTGCCAGACACCCGGCAAAAAGAAAATCAGATCTCACTGGGTTGGGGGAGGACACATGACACGTGGGCCCTGTGAAATCATGCAGTGAGTCCATGAGAGAGTATTAAGTTAAATCAAACTTAGGAATTGTCTAAGTCTTTATTCCATCTTTTGAGTTATGGCTTGTGAAATATGCCAGATGTGCCCTTGTTCATTTAGAATGGATGTCCTTAGGTCAGCTTCCCAAGACATGTTTCACACCACATTGTGTAAATATTAAATTAGGGATTAGTACAACTATTTATCGCTTATGTACCATAAATATGACAGTTTGTCTTCTTTGGGGTAAGGAGCTTGCTTGAATTATTAATCTTTGTGATATAGAGGACATTACATCTAATTCATAGAAACCTGACAAAGTAGTTGGGGGAGAGGTTGAATGGAAATTTTACAAGGGTATCAGTGCTATTGCCTTTCTGTGTTTGTCAAATGCTGAACCATTTAAATACATGCAGTGATTGTGGTTGCTCGATGTATGGTTCAAAAAGTTATTCTCTCTTCAACACAGAGAGTTTAGAGAATATTGTATTAAAGTCTGACTGCACTTACTGAAGTCAATGGCAAAACTCTCACTGATTTCAGTGGTGCAGGATCAAACTCTTACTTGGGAAGAAATGGAACCACAAAGCATGAGCCACGTTAGGAGACACCCTAGCTGAAGTTAAAGGATTTTCCTCAATACAAAATTGCAAAGCTGGGTTCACAGGCTTTCAGGTGACCCTACAAGGATTTACAATAGCAACATATAGCTCACTCTTGTATCAAATATATTGTTTAAGTGAAAACAACCATGGTATTTCTTCAATGGAGCCATGTCATTGGATAAAATATTTCTTAGATCTCTTCAAAAAACCCTCTTTACGGCTGACTTACAAGAGCCAATAGGAGTACAGAAGAATCCATTTACGAAAGAAACTAAACCATAAATAATACTTAGAGTATAAGTATTACAATATTTATAATACTATAACATTGTTAAATAAACTAAACGTAACTCCTAAGTAAGAAACTCAGCAAACCAAAACCATTCTTAGTTTAATAATATAACAACTTCTTCCTTAACTAAGATGAGGAGTTTTGCCATCCTCAAATCCTGTATGGAGAGAAAACACACTTCTATTCACAAGGAAATTAGTCTATTCAGGTTCTTACACTGCACCCATTCCCAGATATCTGATCCAAGTTACAACACGGAGCACAATGGCACCTTTGTCTCTAAAGTGTTACTACAATACAAATAGTAGTTTATCATAATTGCATACAGAACTCCACAAGCCAACATAGTTTTAAAATGTTTGCTAATATTTTCTCCAATAGACAAATTAACTATTTTTTCGGTTAGAAAAAGACTGATACCCAAATTTTTTTCATCCTTAAGATGAAGATCCATAAATACCTCAAAGTAAAACATGCTTTTCAAAGTTTTATTCAAAAATATAAAATGACTATTACATCACATACGTGTGTGTGTGTGTGTGTGTGTATATATATATATATATATATATATGGAAATGATTGATATAACAGCAACTGGTGTTTTAAGATACACCAGGGATTAAATAGATTTTAAAAAGAAAACCCTACTCTCTTCAAGCAGAGAATAAGTTGTGTATAATTAACAATTGATATTCCAGTAGTTCTCCTAGTGTACTAGGCACTGTACAAAACACTTAGGAAGGCTTGGTTTGTGCCCAATTCAGACAAAGGGTAGAGGAGAGAGACACAACATACAAACGAAATGGGGAAGGTAATGATTGGCCATATCTTGATATTAGCATTTATTATATAAATTACTCCCCCATTTCCACTCAACCGTAACATTATTACTTGCTTAATTTGCTATAAGCATCCTGGTAGAACTAGACCTTTCTGGGAGTGGTGGGGCAGAGTTAGCATGAGGAGAAGGTAGAAGCCTTGGAGACCAATTAGGAAAGACATTTCATGCCTAAGGAGTGGCATGGAAGAAGGCATACAGATGACTGTGGGGGAGACAGACAAGTGGTGTATTGAGGCTGGTATCAGTAGGGTGGAAGGAACTGGTGTCAAGTGAAAAGAAAGAAGGATGAGTAAGTAGGAAGGGGTAAGGTTATGCAGGGCTTTGAAAGCCAGAGGAGGAATTTAAGTAAATATGGTCATAATGACATACACTGAGAATGAAATTCAGATTCTGAACAAATCAGTGCTATACAGTGTTCGAGAGTACAACATAACCATTACTGAACACACAACAGATTAGAACAGTCTTGTCTAGGATGCATTCTCTTGCCCTGCAAATACTCTCATACGCCATACTCCCTTGTATGTTGAAATTTAGCCATACACAGCATGTAGAGTAAATGCTTAGCACAGCTTAAACCTTTGTGGGAAAGTTTGCAGCTTTGACTGGTTTTTTTTTTTTTTTTTCCTATATTTTTTTTTCATAGTAAAATGTTTATGGCTTTAATACCTCTTACAGTGGAAAAAACATTCAAGGAGAAAGAGGCAGGGCAGTCACATAAACTGCTCTTCTGTTTGATTTATTAGACCTGATACCACCTCAAGGGCAGTGTGTTGATGCTGTAGCCCACTCTGCACTGGCTCTGAGATCCACCTTTAGAGAAGTGAACATTGTTCCAGCTAAACCTGTATTAAACATATGTTGGGTCCCTGCCTTGCACAGGGCCAAGCTATGTTAGAAACATTTTTAAAAGGCATGGTCAGAGCCTGCTTTTAATATGGTTTAAGCAGAGTTTGTGTCTGACCAGACTAGAGGACCAAATTAGGAAATACGGCATCATAACTAACAGTTAGCCAGTTTAGAAGTCAATATAGTTAGGATCATCTTCTGCCTAAGCAAAATTCTTGTGATAATTTACATGCTCACCACTGACAGCTAAGCACATGAAAGACACTTCAGCCATGTTCACACTAGCCAAGTTTTTCAAGGACTAGTGATTTTGAAATGTCTTTAAAGAAAGGTTTATTTTTAGAGAATAGGTGCTCAACACTTTTGAAAAATCAGATCCCATATTTAAGATGTCTCAGGTTTGACCCCATAAAATTGAGGCATCCAAAAAATCACTAATCACTTTTGAAAGCTTTGTGTGTGGCTTTTAACGCCATTGTAAAGTTTTAAAACATGATTTTGGGCACAAAGGTTTTTAAAAAACAAAAACCCCACAGCTCTCTATTAATGCAAATAGACATATCCAGATCATTTTAACACAGTTGTTGCTAGCAAAACTTCAGCTACTGCATAGACTGGGCCTTTAATATCCTTTTTGAATGATGGGACCTGTCTGGAGATACCATTGAATATGTAATAATTACACCAAATATGTAAACCCAGAATTAGAAGCCAACAACACTTGGTTGAAGGTACAGCCATTGCAAGAATGCCTTAAAGCAGTGGCTCGAACTTTTTTACTGAGGACCCCTTTCACATAGCAAGCCCCCCCCCCCCTAAATTAAATATACTTTTAAAATATATTTAACACCATTATAAATGCCAGAGACAAAGTGAGGCTTGGGGTGGAGGTTGACAGCTCGTGACCCTCTGAGGGGTCCTAAGCCCCAGTTTGAGAACCCCTGCCTTAAGGGTTCTAAATGGGTAAACTAGCCAGGGGGCTCTAATACAAAAACACTTTGCAGTAGTGAACTGAGTAGACATAAAGCAAGTTGACCCTTTACTCTGTATTCTTTAACAAAGTAGTCAGCTTGCTGGTCAGAGCTTTCTGATTTAAATGGTGTCAGCATTCAACCCTTTACTATGCTTTGACTTTTAATTGGTAAACACATTGCAACTTGTCAATCTTAACTATGCTACACTTTTTAGATCTGCATTAGAACTTGACTCAGGTTTAAATAAGATATGTAAATTCTATTTATTACATAATTTTAGTGATATTGCATTATGTTTCAACAAAAGTAAAATTTGGAGGAACCCAGATCCTCATCCCTATGTAACTTTCAAATATAACTAACTCTCTTGGTCAATCTTGCAGTGAAGAGCACTTCTCTATCACAGGAGAATTAAGAGATGGGGAAGTCTCCAAAGAGAGATTGCCAGAACATTGCACAAAACACAAATACTGCTTTGTTAAGGTTACATATGAACTGTCCTTGATTTTTTTTGTTGCAGATATTCTTCAACATCCTCAGTGGTAGGCCTCTAAAGGGGAGAAAGCGATAGCAGTCCCTGCATTGAGGCAAGTCAGCCTTGCAGGATGAAGGTGGGAAGTTTGCCCTGCCGCAGCTACTTTTTGTAGCTGGATAGCTTCAAGATTTAGAGCTGTCCAGCCAGCATAAGTTAATTTAATAAAAATACAGGAACACTTGTTTTTAACAGGCAGGAAATATCACATTTTACACTTTAGGTTTTTTAACTTGCTCTTTAATCAGACACTGTACAATGCACAATTGTGTCTTTTTAGCCAGAGTTAACAGGGTGCCATCCACAAGTTTAGAAGTGAGGAGAGGAAACTCCCCTATTCCTTACCCCACACACACACACAACTCTTTAAATCCATACACTGAGTATTTGCAGACAATACTAAATGAGGATAATTCCCCCACTAGTCCTGCATTCCCCCCATACTTTTGGGTTCAGTTTATTAGAAAACGTTACAGTATTTCAGATTGTAACAGCTGTAAATAGGGAGTTTATTAGTGTTTAAAACTGAAGGTCACCCTGGCCTTTACCAATATCAACTGATGGTTATGTAGTTATCATACAGTTTTCAAAATGCAACAAAATTCTTAAGTAGGTTAATTTGTCCTACCAGTATGATGCCACTTTCCAGCCACCTTATTTGCTCATTAACTACGTTTGCTACACAATCTGTAAATTAAAGCAACAAAACATGTCTTTCAGCTTAGGACTTTTTTTGGTAAAGGATGCATCCCAGAACCTTCTCCTGAGAAAAACCAGACTACCAAACATCAATCAATGTAAGGAACATTTTGTTCAGGGTATACTCATCTTATTTTTGATGAAATTACAGTATGAGAACATTTAGGTACCCCTCAGCACCAAGTTGAAAGGCAGATTTCTTGTCTTGTGGGAGTCAGGCTGTCAGAATGAAGTTATTGAATTAACTTCTAACATTAAGAAAAAATGAAGGACTACATTCTAATGTCAGTACTAGTGCAGTACTGGATTATTTTCAGCAGACGAACAGGGTACCTATCAAAGTTCAGTGGTATACAGATTATGTCAGAGTGGGTATATTACAATGAAACTTTAGGCCAAAGTGAACATTTACAGAGAGATACAACTTAATGTCACAATAAAGAGGGTGGGAGGCTAGCCTGACACAAGTAATTAATTAAAAGGGAAAGTAAGTGGACATAGAAAGAGGCTGTATTTGACTTGATATACCAAAAATACCACTTATTTCAAGTGAATTTCATTAAATCAAAGAATGTGTTCAACTTGGTTACTTGGTCTGTCAGAAATAAGAGATTAGTTATTGTGGCTGCAGTTTGTTGTAACCAATTTCTCAGCAATTCATAGCATTTCCCCTCTGTCTAACCAATTTCAGAAGGTCTGTTCTTTGGCAGTACCACCTCAAATATATTTAGGATGGCTACTACTGTATATCACAGACCTCCCAGCACAATTCAAATACACCAATTTTAGATTTTCCCCCCCACTTGTGCTCTGAGATTAGAATCAAGTCCATGATACACTTTATGAAGGTTAAATCTGTCCTCACGTGCTCTCATCTAGGGGTTTCAGGTAAAGCTTAAAATTTTCCCTGGTAATGTTGGTAAGTCGAGACTGATTTAAGTTTAACTAGCTACATCACTTCCAGTTAGTCATTTGGCTTGTGTGCTTTCCAACAGGCTTATTTTAAGTTCAGTGTCAAATAAGCAGATCATTAGAGTTTGATTACTTTGCACACTTCTTGAAAAAAGTTGCTACTAAGATAGCCAGAGACTCTGGAGGGTGGGGGGTGAGATGCGTGGTTGGCTGCTCATGTGCATTTACAATCTTTCCAACTGAATTTTACAATGAAGAGCAGAGTTACTTTAACTTGATATAGCATTTGTGAACATTATTCAGATAAGCATGTCCAGAAATATTAAATTCTATTGTGTCTCAGCTTTGCCAGCCATCTACTAAATATTAAGGTTCACTTGTCTAACAAGAGTCTCGCCAGTGCACGAATAGAAGGAACAAGTTCCCTTACAGCAAAGGAGACCTGTTCTAAATGGCTTGTAGTACCCACACTCCCTAATAAACAGAACAAAAAAGAGGAAGTCCCATGATTCTAATGCAGCTTCTAAGAAGTTGGCTATACCTCTTGAGTCAAGAAATAAAATTTTAGTAAACGAGCTCAAACAGGCAGAACATTGGAAGGTAAACATAAGCAGTTTCCCTCTTAGGTTAGCTTTAGCTCAGCTTATTGTAATGCACATTACTTTCAGTGGAATGAAACTGCTCACGTTTCTGGCAGGATGGAGAGAATTCCACTTTGTCCTCATTAGGATTTTATAAGGCAGATAATGTGGAAAGTTGAAACAGAACTTCTACAAGCATTTAACCTGTGATATTGTAAAAATCAAAATACTACTTTATTAAATGAGTTATTTTACACAATATGAACATCAGTATAATTACAATTGTAAAAAATGTTTATAACAAGTATGGACTGGTTTTCAGGATTTCCAAATAGGGCACAACTGTACATTTACACAGAATCGTCTTTGCATGAAGCTCAAGAGGGAACAGCATAAAAATATGAATGTTTCTGTAACCCCTTCATTTTTGCTGATCAACAGTTTGTTAGAAAAGCAGCTGCAGATTTGTTATGTAAGGTCTGACTGTAGACGAGTCAATAGGTGCCATGAATTCACCTATAAAAAAACAAGAATTCAGTTAAACTGAACTGTTGCACAACACTGCTCTAACTACTACTTATCTTCCAATCACTGAAAAATTATACTGAACTAATTACGAACCAAAGGGTTTTTGATTATAGGGGATTTTTTGGCATTGGTTTAGCTATCCTGCAAATATTCTCAAAAGATTTGTATTTACATAAATACTTTCTCTACCCAAGCCAAATAGTATATATTTTGTGTAACAAAGTCTAAACATTTGGTCATGTGCTCAACAGTTCTAACTTCATTAAGTCTTGTATGGCAAGAAGGAAATAAAGTATCCTTTGAAAAAAGTATTTACAATAATTTATGCTTCTAATCTAAATACCTGAATAATACTTCGCATTCATTAGTTTGTATCAACCCCATGGGCAAGCCTCTCACCTAGGGTTGTATTTTTTCCTCAAAGTTAGTATCAATGGTCCAATCAAGGACCAGGCCTCCTGCTGCTGCAGTAGTAATGATGAAGTTGCTTCTCATGCTTAGTGATCTGAGGATGTGTTTTTAGTTTCAAGCTAACTTTCACTTCGGAGAAAATGAAGTAATTCTCAGATAGCCAGTGAGCAAGGCTAATTCATTATGATAAACAGTACAACTCAGATTTAGTTTTTAAAAAAGTGTATGTAATGACCTGTAAACAACTTTATGCCTGAACATCAGCCAATTCTGGAGGAAGTGGAGTCTTAGGATGCTTGCTCTCAAAGTGCTGTTTGAAGGTCTTGGGGTCCGGCATTTGTGTCTGATTAAAAAAAAAAAAAATTTATCTTTATTCATGGCAGAAGAGTGTTAGGTAAAATCTTTACACTGAACTGTTCTCCCCATTTCAAACCTTAATTTTCTTCACCAAGGTCAACATAGGGCTTGACTTGTCTCATTGATGAATGCAACATATGTATATAATTACCAATCTTAGTGCCATAGTACTTCCAGCAGACAGGCTATCAAGATGCTATTGTGCATTACTATGCTAGTTTTAGAGACTCTCTGGCTCTATATTAATACAATCCTCTGATTTTTAACTCCTGTTTTCAGCATATCATTATCACATACTTGTTTTATGCCACCTGCCAAGAATGCACTGAAAGATGTGTGCTCATTTTTATTAGAAACCTCCTTGCAGACGTCAAGTTTATTCAATATAGGATTTTACAAATAAATTAGGTGGGAAGCCTACTCCCTTCAAAACTCAGCCAAAGGATACATATCTAACTTGTATAGAACTATGAAGCCAATTCATTTTTTATGGCCTCACTGGTACACCGAGGCCCAAAGAGTTATTTGTAGTCTCTTAACCCATTGTTTCTAGCAATGTGTAGACCGCAACTTCTGATTGCATTAGTAGGAAAGCTAGCATATTTTGCAGAAAAGAATGGGGGTGCATGCATCTGAGTGAGCAGTCCTCCATTGGGAAGCTTTCCATTACAGTTTATTACAAGTGACAGGTCTGTTCTAGGACTGGCCCTTTAAATGAATGCACTCTATAAGAGGAAAGGCAGGATTCAGGAGAGTCAGTCAGGAGGAAAGTCAGAATCTGATTAGGTGCTTAAATTTCTGTTCTCTTGTCAAGACAATAACTCTGGCAGAAATATATAACTATTTATTAAACCCTGGCTACAGCTCTTAGCATCATGCTCAACAGCATCAGCCATCAATGATGGCGAGTCAGGAGCATCTTTTCATTTAAAAAAGTAAAATACACAGCAGAAAAGTGGTCTCAGACCTCTAGAGAAGCCTTGTACTGCATACCAACTGCAAACATGAAAATTTGCAATTAAGCAGTCTGGAACCACTGGTCTACAAGGTGCTGATCTTTACATGTAACCACAGGAAGCTATCTTCCCTCTTTCTAAGTTATCTATGTAGCTAAGGTTATACAGCCCAACAAAGTAATATGAAACCCTATTATATGTACATAAACTACAAATATGCCTGGAGCAACTAGCCAGTTAACCCATTATTACCACAGAAATATTTACTTTGTGGTTTCCACAACTTCTTCCTATAAAAGTCCTACTCTAGGCTGGAAGAGTTGCCCGTGTAATGCTTTGTCTTCTGCTCCCCCTTACCCTACAAACAGTGCAGGTATATATTAAGGCAGCCTTGGCTGCAGCCTTCTGATCATGTCCTTGTTTCTTTTTCTGTCCAGCTTGCTTTTTGGCATTTTTCTGCTGCGACTGAATCTTCTGCTGTCCACGAGCCATATCTACAAACAAAGAAGGATGTTTAGTCTAAGTGAGAAAGAGACTGTTTTGGCTACCAACTCAGAAGGTATCCTTATGAGCAAAGAGTCATATGCTCTCTCCATGTGGCCTACTCAATCCACAGGAGGCAGACACATGGACAGCTCTGTTCAGGTTCCTTGTGTAAATACCTCTGTACTCTAAGTACTTTTTATATGAAAAGTGGTTAGTAGGTTCCATTCTAAAGCTGCCTCCTAAATGACACTTCAAAGCCCATCTTTTAGAGAGGTATTTTCAGTGGATAAACAGTCAAACCAATTTGTTTCCTTTTATATGCATTTATTTTCTAATTCCTGCCCAGGTAAAGAAATTCAGGTTTAAAGATCTCACTTTGGTTTAATCAATTGATTTTCTAACCAATAAAGCCCTAAACATTTCCAGATGAAACATGAATTGGGCCATAGATGTCAAGACAGTGATTACTGAACTGTTGTCCATGGATCACTGGTTTCTATGGAGCACTTGGCTAGGGGTCTGTGTAAAGCAAAGTAACATGGTGCTGCCTCTCCCTAATGCAAGCTGCAGCACAGGACTATAAAATCAGACCCAAGGGAGCCAGGCTAGCTGCCTTCATCAAAAGCCACTACTACATATAGAATGACAAGAGGAGGAGATAGGAGCTGCCCTCAGGGACTGAAGTCATCCACCATCAGGGAAAGGATGTCTATGAGACATGGGAATAGGATAAATGGACAGTCTATATAGTGGAGCAGGTAATATTTCATGGAAGACTTGCTTCCAAATTTCTACTCTAGCTGCTAATTCCTCATCTAAAGTTTTGTTTTTTTTTAAATCTGATGTTTATTTGAATTGCAGAAGTACCTGGAAACCCAGTTCCATAGTGCTAGTCACTCTATGAATATAAAAAGACAGTCCCTGCCCTAAAGTTTTTACAGTCCATGTAATTCTATAGCTACCAACTGTAAAAAAGGATTATGAAGTCAGAAGGTGAGAGAAAAAAGCATGAAGTGAAAATTCCATGCAAGTTTTCTTAGAAAGAAGATACAGAAATGCAATAGATTTCTTATGTTCAACACTTCCATGAAATAGATTATTTTAAACAAAAATCTAAGGAGCCGGTTTTAACTGTTTCTGTACCAAAACTATTTAAAGAAAAGCTATAGTGATTTTATCACATTAAATAAACAAACACTATATTAGTAATGGGTTTTCAGGATGTTAGAAATACCTGTCACAATTTCACTAATAATGGTTTCAATTGAAACTGTCATTACACTGATACATGCTATACACCTGGGGGAATTCTGTGCCACTGCACGCACACAGAATTCATGTCCCCCACAGATCTCTTTGCTTCCCTGCGGAAAAAAGATTTTGACAGGGAAGCCACAAAAACTGTCATGCACCCCTCCCCAGAACGGTGGGTGTGTCGTTTTGGGTGCCCAGAGCAGCCAGCAGTGAAGTAAATCACCACGGGGGGGGAGGGGGGGGCAGGAGGAGGGAGAGCTAGGGATGTCCTGGCCAGTGGCTCCTTCCCTGTGCCAGGCTCAGCTGCTAGTCCCGACTGGGCAAGGACTGGATTTCCTCTTTCCCTGCAAGGAATGGCTGGGGCCAGGTCAGACCCACCCTCAAATCTCCCCATGGCTGCAGGAAGCTCCACACTGCCCTTCCCCTGTTTGCCCATCTGCCCAATCCCTGATGCATCCAGAGCCCCCCGTTCCCAGACTCTCCCTCCCCCGATGCCTCACCCCCTGCATCCTCCCACACACCCACAACCTCTGGCACCTGAACCCCCTCCCCCATGTCCTACCACCTGCATCCTGAGGTTCCCCTCGCTGAGCCCCACCTCCTCAGCATCCAGACCACCTCCCGCTGAACCTCACATGCTCCTGCACCTGGACCACCCCTAGAATCCTGCCCCACCCAGTCCCCCCCACCGAGCCTCACCCCCTTGCACCCACAACCCTCCTCCGATATCCGCACATCCAAACCCCCCACCTCACTGAGCCTTACCCCCGGCATCCAGAGCCCCCCTGCATGCAGACACCCACCCCGATGAGCCTCACATCCCCTACACCCGGACCACCCCCTCCTGCACCCAGACCTCCATCTTACCCAGCCCCAAGACCCCCTCCCGCTGATCCCCAACTCCCTTCAACAGCACCCCACTGCTGAGTCCCATTGCCCCTGCACCCGCCCGCCCCCCTGTGAGCTGCCCACATGCAGATTGCCCCACCCAGAACCTTCTCACCCCAGACCAAGACCCTCCACACTTGGAACCTACCAGACTGAGCCTGCCTGCCCATACCTGGTGCAGAGGGGCAGGGCCCGAGGGTGTTTCTGGGACAGACCGAGCCCTTGCACTGTGTCAGAGTTGGGCTGCAGCCTCACTGCCAAGTGAAGGGTAATCTCCCACTTCCGTGCAGCCAGTGGCCTGTCCCCCCTACAGCCTTGCTGGAACCTCCACATTTATTGATAAATAAAATTTGCAGAATTTTAAAATACTGTGAGAATTTTCAAATGTTTTGGTGCAGAATTCCCTCAGGAGTAATCCCAGCAAGGGCCTCAGACTGTTTATGTAGAGTACACTGGAGAATGCGCACTTCCTGTTTCAAAAGCAAGGGAGATTAAACCTTCAGTTAACTGTAAAAATCTTTAATTTCCTAGTTAATTTAATAGAAGACTTCATTTATCTAAATACTGCTCTACACTAGTGTCAAGATTGTTTTAAAACAAACAATAGGGAGAGACTAAAATTCTCTTTAAACAAAAACATCCAGATGTGGGAAACAGAGTGGGTTTTAGTTATCTCAGTTATTTCTCCTGCAACAGTTGCACCTCAATTAAAAAGTGTTACAATATGTTTTATTTAGTGTCTTGATATTAGTTTGCTAAAAAGGCCACTAGACAAGCACACTAGTTTATTATATTGAGATTGTCCATAAGTATGGAGCTGTTATTTTCGTTTTTTTGTCTAGTTAACTAAAAAAAGCATTTATTTGAAAATATTGGGCTTTCAGATTTGGTCCAGCCAGACTTTTCGTTTTAAAATACTGTAAATTACACAATGTAATTCCAATATGCGGAATTTGAACATTAAGTGTACTGGCAAGCTAAGTATTTCTAACTCTCTTGGAATACTACAATACTGTCACTTTCAGAGTTTGCTGAAAACAGTTACATTCAGCCACAACTAAACCAATTCTATATTTCAGAGTTAAAGTAACATATTATGATGACTTTCCTGTTTTCTTAAGCACAGAAACACCCTTCAAGAACTTAAACTGGCCCCAAATCTTGATTTAATACAGACTTGCATGACAGGACATAAAAGAAACTTTAAAAAGCTTGTTAGAAATGTTTAACATTAAAGCAGTCACAGTGAAGTTAGAAGACGCAAATGCTAAATAGCACATCTCGATTGAAGCCCATGGTATTGCAATACACCTCGTACTAAGTTGTTTTCTTGTAAAACAACAAGGATTACAAGTAACCAAAACCGGAAAGTCAAACTAGAAGCAGAATGTTCATATCCTGAGACTGGAGAGCAGCAGCTGCTTCCTCTGATACTTTCAGAGGCTACAAATAGGTTAAAATTGTTCAGTTTAGTTTCCAGCAGGATCGCCAAGGGCCCTAGGCTCAAACTCTTTGTGATGAAGCAGAACCAACCTCAGGCAGCAGCCTGGTTTGAGACCGAGAATTCAGTCCGGCTCCGAGCGTAGCGTACAAGTACTTCAACCCCTTCTGGGTGACCCTGAAGTGTCGAGGGCCGGGGAGAAGCCGGCGGCTGCAGGGCTCCAAGCAGCGAGCGAGCGCAGCCCCCCAGGACGGGACTGCAAGGGACAAGCCGGGCAGGGGAGCCCGTGGGCACAGGGACAACGCTGCGCTCGGCCGCGCACCCTGACCCCGGGGCCCAGGCAGGCAGGGACCGGGAGCGCGGAGGCCACCTCCATGGTCAGGTTTCGACACCGTCCAGCCACCGTGAACGCAGATTTCCTCTCCCGGAGGAAGCTCGCCCCCTAACAGGCCACGGGCCGCCCCGCCCCCCAGGATTCTCCCCCCCCCCCCGGCCCTCAGGCCCGGCCCGGCCTCCCGCCGCCCCGGGGAATACCCCGACACCACCTCAGGCCTCGCCCGCCCCCGCCAGGATCAGGCCCCAGCCCAACGAGGTGCCCTCACGCCGGGGCCGGGGCCAGCGCGCTCCCCGGCCCGCTCGCCGACTGCGGGCCTCCTCGCCCCTCATGCCCGGGAGAAGGGCCCGGCTCCCACCTACGGCAGCGCCCTGCCGGGTCCCCGCTTACCCGGACTAGCCCGGCCGGCCCAGGCGCTAGCGAGCGGGTGGGGAAGGCTCCGTGCGGCCCCGCAGCAGCCGCGGCCGCCGCCTACCCGAGAGGAGGATGGAGGAGTCGGCGCCCCCCAACTGCGCATGCGCGCTGCCTCCGCCTCCCCCCGCGCCGGCAGGTCCCGGCCGCCCCGATCCCGCCGGCCAATGGCGGCGCCGCCCTCTTACATAACGCAGGGAAGGGAGCGGGGCCTCCCCAGGAACAGGGGGCGGAGCCGCAGCACCTCCCCCGGTGCCCGGATGCTGCAGCCGCCCGCTCCCGGGAGGAGCCGGGGACGTTTGCCTCTGGCAGCCCCGCCCGTTGCTTCTCTCCGCCGGGGAAGGGAGAAACGTGCTTCCTGCGGGTGCCCCCGTCACCATGGGCGTGGGGAGACATCCCCCCGCGGACCGTCCCCACGGGGTGTGCGGGGAGTGGGCCTGAAAATCCCGCCCTCGGGGCTTTCATTGAGAAAATGGGGGCGTGGGGGCCTGGCCTCCCCTCAGGTGTTAGCGGGGGGAGAGCCCTCTCCTGAGTCACGGGGGGACGGAGTCGGGGGTAGGTTCCCGGGCCCTAAACGTTCAACCACCTACTAAGCTCCTCGCCCCCGCTCCCCCCAACAAAATCCGAGCTGGGAATTGGGGACGCAAGAAGGGGAATCCCTGAGCATGGGAACCCTCTTAACGCGACCCTCTGTTCACACTCCGCAGGCGCCTGATGCGCTGCCAGATCCTCCATCCCCTCTGTCAGCTGTCCATGTGCAGATTGTTGAACTCAAACCACCCTTAGCAGCGCTTTAATTAGAGGCCACTTCATTTCCCCCTCAAGACATATTGGCTGCATCTACATTGAGGATTTGAGGAAAATCTCTCACTGTTGCTCTAGCACCAATGCAGCTCCACTAGTGCTGGTTTGAAAGGCACTTGTGCTGTGGTCTATTGTGCACTGCCAGTAAACTGAGACAGGCACATAGAGGGCTACCTTAAAGCACAGAGACATTGGGACTCAAGGATTAAGCTCCCCCTTCCACATAGTGCCTGTCTCACTAACAGTGCCACGCAAACCAGTAAGTCAGTTGCAAACGAAACCAGAGTTGCCTGGACACTGTACACTCTGACAAAGCAAAAGAACTATAAATTGTAGTGCTCAGACTCCAGGAAGGATTAGGGCTCCACTGTGCTAGGCACTGTACAAACACAGATAAATACTCCTGAGGGCATTCTGCACCTATATATATATATATGTGCACAATATTTTAAAATTCTGCACGTTTTATTTGTCAAATAAATGTGGAGGCTCCAGCATGGCAGTATGGAGCACAGGCCACTGGCTGCACAAAGGTGGGAGGTCACCCTGCAGCCTCCTCACCCCTGGAACATAGAATATCAGGGTTGGAAGGGACCTCAGGAGGTCATCTAGTCCAACCCCCTGCTCAAAGCAGGACCAATTCCCAACTAAATCATCCCAGTCAGGGCTTTGTCAAGCCTGACTTTAAAAACCACCAAGGAAGGAGATTCCACCACCTCCCTAGGTAACACATGAACTCAGCAATGAGGCTGCACCTGACCCTGACACAGCACAAGGCCTGGGCCTGCCTCAGAAACACGCTGCTCTGCTCCTCTGTGCCAGGTGTGGGGCAGGCAGGATCCAAGGGGCTCAGTGTGGGACAAACTGGGCACAGACAGCTGAATGTGGGGGGTCTAGGTGTCGGGGATATGGATGCACAGAGGCTCATTGGGGGGGCAGAGTTTCCAGGTACAGGGGCAATGTGACTCTGCAGGGGCTTCCAGGTGAAGGTGGTTGGGGCTCAGTGGAGGGATCTGTGTGTGTGGGGGGGTGTCTCTCAGCAGGGGACTTTGGGTGCCAGGGGCTTGGTGGGGTGTGAGGTCTGGGTGCAGCTAATTGGGGGTCTGGATGTGGGGGCTCAGGTTGACACAGGAGGGTGGGGCTCATCAGGGTGGAGGTTTGAGTGCAAGGAGCTCAGTGGTTGTGGTCTGGGGGGGATCCAGATGCAGGGGTTGAGGTATGGAGTGCTAGGGGGGTTCTGGGTATGGAAGGTCCAGATACACAAGGTTTTGGAGGATGGGGGAGCAGCTCCCCATACAGTGACCCTTCCTGCAGCTGAGTAGTGATGGGGGCAGGAAGCTGAGCTTCCTGCAGCTGGGGAAGGTTTCTGGAGGTGGGTCTGACACAGCCCCAACCACTCCTTGCAGGGGAAGAGAAAGTCTCATCTTCCTTTGCCTTCAGCCCAGCTGGGACTAGCAGCTGATCCCAGCTCAGGGAAGGAGCCACTGGCTGGGGTGTCCCCAGCCCTGCGATGATTTACCTCTCCGCTGGCTGTTCTGGGGTGCCTGAAATATATGGAGATATACCTATCTCATAGAGCTGGAAGGTCATCAAGTTCAGTCCCCTGCCTTCGCTGGCAGGACCAAGTACTGATTTTGCCCTAGATCCCTAAATGGCCCCCTCAAGGATTGAACTCACAACCCTGGGTTTAGCAGGCCAATGCTCAAACCACTGAGCTAGGCAGTAGTGTGTGACTGCTCTTGCAGTTTCCCTTTTCTTCCCTGTCAGAAAGTCATTTTTCTGCAGGGAAACAAAGAAATCTGCAGGGGACATGAATTTTGCGCACGTGCAGTAGTGCAGAATCCCCCCAGGAGTAAGATAAAGAAACTGTCCTTAACAGATGAAGAGTTTAGGACAGGGAAGCAAATGATTATGGTGACTGGGCACAATTTTGATAATTACATATTTTGCTGTTAAAAGTGACAAAGAGTCTTGTGGCACCTTATAGACTAACAGACGTATTGAAGCATAAGCCATGGTCAGCTGATAAGATTCTGTAGGCATCATGGTGTAGGTTTAAGAAGGGATTTGAAAGGAAGTAAGGTAGTGGCTGTATAGATTTTACAAGAGGTTTTCCTTATGCACAAGAAATGGCATGAGAGAGGTACAAAGGTGTTTTTGGAAGAAGCTGACGGGTGTTAAAGGATCGGAACACCTGCGGAGTGAAGATATGTGTCACATGCATCTGACGAAGTGGGTATTCACCCACGAAAGCTTATGCTCCAATACGTCTGTTAGTCTATAAGGTGCCACAGGACTCTTTGTAGAAGGGAAAGGAGGGATGGTATAGACTATGAGTACGTGGAGGAAAGACTGTGGGGCTCTCCAGGTAGTGCCTAAGGCCGTGTAGAAGAAGGAGCTGCTGCTAGAGCCCAGATGCTTTTGTTTTGGGACTTCTAAGTTCTGTCTGGACTCTGATGTGAGTGCCTTTAAACCAGTGTGTAAATTATGGTGATCACCTTTGCTGCATGAAAATAAGGGACAATGCTTTATTTTAAGGGATGTTTCAGGGGAATGCCATTTTCCTTCGCATATCATGTATTTTCCTCTCAAGTGTACATTTATATTGCCCTCAAGTATACAATGCAATTATCATATGCTTCAGTGTAAATGTTTAAAATGGTACTTGAGAGACAAGGTGGGTAAGGTAATATCTTTTATTGGACCAACTTCTGTTGGTGAGAGAGACAAGTTTTTGAGCTACACAGAGGAAGACCTTTGTTTGGTAAAAAAGATTGGTAAAGGCCTAATTGTGAGGCCTGTGCTAAGGAGGCATTGAATATGTGAAAAAGCATGAGAAGGAAACAGCTGACGATGGGAGAAGCACTGTTGGCATAAGCCTGGGTGTGCACCACCTCTTATTTAGAGATTCAAGGCTGGAGTTCTAGAGAAGGCCCCCTTTCTTGGCCTGCATTAACTGATTGGATTTTCAGGAAGATGTATTGGGCTGTTTCACCTTGGGTATCAGCCCTGCACGGGTAGGGATGAAGGCTGTGATTTGGGCTGGACTAAGGATATGTTTTGTTTTTGTGTTGACTCTTGTAGACCCAGAAGGGAGGATTTGTGGTTTGGCTGAATGTCTGACTTCTCAAATCACCCATCTACCAGAGGGAGACTCTCCAGAAGGAAAATGAGTCAGTAGCTATGCTTGCATGGAAGCATTTGGTGGCAGAGGCCAGGAAAGCATACAGTGAGTGTGATCATAACTTGCAGGAGGAGATGCTGAGGCTAATGGGGGAGCAAACGGACACAATGAGGCGTCTGGTGGAGCTGCAGGAGAGCCAGCTAGACTACAGACCCCTGCTGCATCCATTGTGTAACCGCCTACCCTCCTCGCCACGTTCCATATCCTCCTCACCCAGACGCCCAAGAACGCGGGGCGAGGGGAAGGGGAGGCTCCGGGCGCCCTGCCACTCAACTCCAGGGGATGTCCCAAGCAACAAAAGGCTGTCATTCAAACAGCTTTGATTTGTAGTGTGGCTACAATAAGCAATGTGGCCTTGTCCTTCCCTCCTCCCTCACCCCACCCCGTTATCAAACCCTTTGTACACCCGGGCTTCCTTTTACTAGTCAGCATTGCCAGTGATCTCAATTTTTTTTAATAAATAAAAAATGAATGGATTCAGAACAATAGGGACTTTATTTCCTGTGCCAGCTGTGGTCGAAGGGGGGAGGGGGATTGGCTTACAGGGAAGTACATTCACCAAAGGGGGCAGCTTTGCATCAAGGACAAACACACACAACTGTCACACCGTAGCCCGGTCAGTCATGAAACTGTTTTTCAAAGCCTCTCTTATGCGCAACACGCCTTGGTGTGCTCTTCTAATTGCCCTGGTGTTTGGCTGTTCAAAATTGGCCACCAGGTGATCTGCCTCATCCTCCCACCCCGACATAAAAGTCTCCCCCTTACTCTCACAGATATTATGGAGCACACAGCAAGGAGCAATAACAATGGGAATATTGCTTTCGCTGAGGTCTAACCTACTCAGCAAACTGCGCCAGCGCCCTTTTAAACACCCAAAGGCACATTCTACCACCATTCTGCACTTGCTCAGCCTATAGTTGAACTGCTCCTTACTGCTGTCCAGGCTGCCTGTGTACGGCTTCATGAGCCATGGGAGCAAGGGGTAGGCTGGGTCCCCAAGGATAACTATTGGCATTTCAACATCCCCAATGGTAATTTTCCAGTCTGGGAAGAAAGTCCCTTCTTGCAGCTTTCCGAACAGCCCAGAGTTCCGAAAGATGCAAGTGTCATGCACCTTTCCCGACCATCCCACGTTGATGTC